AGCCACTTGCGGAAAACACCTAAAAGCTCAGACCTCCTCCACATTATTCTTCCAGTGACTCACTAAAAACAGAGAAACTGTCAGCTTAATTCTTGGTGTCCAGGTAGGAAAAAGAAAGCAAGTGGTCATCTTTTAAATAGCAGGAGGGACTCAGTTGTTCTGGTCAAAAAAAAGCTACATGCCTATGCAAAATGAACAGAAGTGATGGAGAGGTGGATAGCTGGGTAGAATACTTTAGACTTTAAAAAAAATAAACTAGAAAGGAACCATGGGGAATTAGATTCCCAGGCTCATCAACTTCGTGGCAGGACTGTCAACACTCCACCTTTTTACAGCTTTCCCCCTGTTACTCCTGAGCACAAATACTGATACTCAGCCCTTCAGTTAAGCACAGGCATCACAACAACGTGCCATTGCTGCATGTCCTGGAGGTTAAAGAGCTGTTTCTCCTTTTGTACTGTCATGTCAAGGAGATGGCACATGCGACTGATGGTATCAGCAGCCTTTCTGTGGCTCACCTCTAAAGCTCTTTTCCTTTTGCCTTGGCTCACAGCCTTTATGTTCTCTTTCTGCAATGCCTAATAAAAGGGATGTGATGGGGGGTCCTCTAAAGTATTGCCACGGTGCCAAGCCCCAAATGCTGATATTCAAGTTCTGCATAAATGTTACGTTACTTTTTAGCCACTTACTTGAGTTTCTTGAAGGCTTCCCTGCCACCAGCCACATACTGCTCTCCACTCTGGAGCTCCTCCAGCTGCCGGACACGATGCCCACCCCGGGGGGTATAGATGTTCCGCACAGCTCCAAAGGGTGCCTTCACCCCGCCTGTCACCTCTTTCAGGAATACATCGAAGTTGGACACTTTCTTCTCGTGGATGACAATACGGCGCCCCGGGAAGAAAGGGTCCCCGTTGCGATACACCAGCACGCTCTTCACTGTCGGCTGCGAGAGCCAGGAGCCCTTTGTGCCAGGACTAGTCATGCTCGGTGGCTTCAGATCTCCTGCGCAGCCCAAGCCACACGGACGAGCTGCCTGCACCTGTTTGTTCAGGTGAGGGTTCCTGCCCAGGCGCCCCTCTCGCCCTGACAACTCCCAGCCGGGGCCCAGGCACATGGGCACACCTCCCGGGAAGCAGAGGAGGGCTCACAGCACCCCCGGGGCCCGGGCACAGCTCTGCTCAGCCTGTCAAAGCGGCTCCTCCCAGGCAACCAGCGCTCGCTGCTCGGGGCGCCTGAGGAGGTGAACGCGGAGAATACCAACCCAGGCGGAAAAACACGGCGTGGAAACCGACCCGGCGCAGCAGGTACACGGACTGCCGGGGACCCGCGGCCTCCCAGGGTCTTTATCCTCCGGTGCTGCCGTCACGGAAAGCGCTACCGCTCTAGTTTCCACGGGAAACTTTATCCCGCGTGTGACCCGGGGCCACCGGGGGAAGAAGGGCGAGGGGGCGGCGTGCCCAGAGACAGGCAGAGGGGCGCGGTGCGACGGGGGCAGAGGGAACGGGACCACGAGATCGAGTGAGGGAGGGAAATAGCGGCTCTGCCTCCTTCTCCCCGACCACCGCCCGTCCCCTACAAGGGAAGGGCCGGCGGCCGAGCCGCCCTGAGCGGGGACCCGGCGGCAGCGGGGAAACGCCGAGCCGGCCCACCGCTTCCACTGGATTTTGGCGCACCGTGGGTGCAAGAAGCCGTAAAACCTGAGAGAAACTAAAACAGAAAATGCCTTACATTCAAACATAATTCCTTTAACAACCTCTTTCCTCCGATGATAGTCCGAAGTTCTAAAACCGGACTAGACCTTCCTACCTGGAATTGTTTAGTGTACTGTAATGATTGTTCTTCCAAATGGGTTCTAACACGTGTGATGGAAGGAATTTTCTTTCCTTTTATCTTGCCTCCTTTAATGGGAAAATTACCCCCCCTGCTGTGAGTTACAACAGAGCAGTTAACCATTACAAAAAGAGCAATTTCAGGGTGAGGGAAGTCAAATATGCTACTATTATTGGTTAACAGCCAAATTTCTCTGCTTGCTGCTGATTTCCTTCTAACTGATAAAGGTAAGAACTAAACATTTACTATCCTCGAATTAATACTGTTTAACATTGATCTAGTGCTATCTGAAATTAAATTTTTGTTATTAAATATATGCTTCCGTGTAAAAAAGAAAAATGCTCATGACCTTCATACTGCATTGAAGAAGTGATATGTCAACTATCTGCTATTTTGTGCCAGATTCAACCACATTTGGTGATCTTAGGCCTAATTTGCAATCACTCAACATTTTTGACATAAGTGTAAGACACTGAATATTTTACTCGTGCACCCACACTTGTGCTACTCCAAAATACTGTTGGTCTTTACCTATGGCCACACTAGTTGCAGTCACTTTATGGATTGCAATAAAATATCCCTGAAGTGGTATCAGAGCACTGCTAGCCTTAAAACAGCCTAGAACTGGTGGACAAAATCTTCATCTAAAACTGGGGGAGTATTATGAATCCCTTGAAAAACTGCAATGCAGAATTTTGCCCATAGTTTAACTTTTACATAGTTAAGAGCTGTACCTCTAAAGACCTCATCTTTCAAATCCAGCTGCTTGCATTTCTGCTCTCTGCTCTCTACCCCTTTACTCGTGCTGCAGTGGAATTTCATCATTTTCTTACCCTTAAGGCAACACCTTCAAATCCAGCCCCTGAAAGGCAATGTGACTGTCCAGCCCACCGCTGGACAGTGCCCGCTATTTCACACCAGTCTTTTCAGAATGAAACATATTATTTTCTTCAGTTACAGGAACAAACCAAATCAAAACGGAGTGTTTCCAATACAGTACAAAGTCAGCATGTCTTCCATCTTGCCTAAGTACACCCACTGCCCGAAAGCTAAGAAAAGGTCAGATACTTCAGCCCATGATAGCAGTGCCTTGATCCATGACAATCTGCTTGTCCTAGCCTTTCCAGGGTCTGACCTTTTATTCCTGCTATATTGTTTCAGTTTCTAAGCAATCTCCTATCACATTCTCAACAGTAAGGAGAGCTGCTGAATGCAGAGACACATAATCTCTTTATGATGGAGTGATGTCAGGCCTCTCATCTTACATGAGGTTGGTGCATGACACGTGTGTCAGGATCCCCTGAGGTCACATAACAAGCACATGTTGGGGGATCTGTTTTGGATGGCAGTTCCATGACTAAGCCCATCTGTGCTGGAGCTGTCCTTGCATTTTGGCTAAATAAAGAACAGCCACCATGCCAGTTTGTGTCAGTGAGCTTCTTCAACAAACAGTACATGAGCTTGACCCAGTTTTTTTTGGTTTGTTGGTTTTGTTTTGTTTTGTTGGGTTTTTTTTATGAAATACAGCAAACCACTCCCAAAGGTTGGCACTGCAGGACAGACTGGATACCTGACATGTGCCTACAGCAGAAGCAACAAGCTGCTTGTTGGTATTTAGAGCTGCAATAACTAGATGGCAGTTCTAGATCTCCAGTTATCTTTTGTCAGCAGTAGTATAAAATCAGACGTTCTGTCTGTGCTTCATAACTTGTCTCTGGCTGCCAGTTCACACCATGTGCTGCCTTCACCTCTAAAGACAGAGGTGATACTTGGTTATTGTCTGCCCTTCCAGATCGTTGCAATAGTGACTGATAATGCAGCTATAATGAGATACAACACCAATGCCTCCTGGTACACTGGCCTATTGTATCATACATACCAGAGTTTGAATCAATATATATTCGGTGTGAAGTTACATCATCTTATTTCCAGCACTTAGCAAGCCAGAACAGCAGATGAGCAAAGGAAAACAAATAGATCCAGTAGCTTCTCCCTTTTTTATTGAGGGGTATGACATGTCAGCTGTGTGAGCACATTCCTGCACATTCATTAAATGTAAATTTCTGGCAGATATCCTTCAGATGCTTCTCTAGCTTTTGCATTCTAACATGAAGAACCAACATAGGCTGCAATGAGTTGCCAGCAATGGTATGCATTGGTTTCCTGCCCTCCTGAGGTATTTTCTGTGCTGTCTGGTATTTCCAAATTTTAAGTATCTCTGACATCCAAGAGTCTTACATTAGTGTTGCACATACTGCCACCTGCTGAGATTAACCAAAACTAGAGCTAGAATACTCTAAGTGGATTTCAGCCTCTTCAGCCAACATTTGCAGACAGGCATGGTTACCCTGAAACTGAAAACCTCTGATGGCTTCGGTCAACACATACAGGGTATGTATAACTACTGAGGAACTTTTTTATTTAATTAATTCCTTGTGAGGTCATTCATCTTTGTGCAAGGTGTGCGTAAACCACCCTTCTGATTCTGTACATGTCAGTCCGCTTTGGACAAAGGCTCATCTATGTATGTTAAGGTATGTATGTGCAAACAATAAGACAAATGCACAGGTGATGTGGTACAGGAACAGAGAGGACATTGCTGGCCCTTTGGTGACTTAACTTTAACTTGCAGCCCAGCTGAGAACAGTATTTGGTCCTGACACCCTTGTCTTCAAAACTCTGACCTGTGTTCCAGGCAGTGTTTAGACTTGCACCCTCCTCTTGGAGCAGCCACACTGTACGGATCATTTCATTAGCAGCGTAATCACTTCCTTTTTTATTTCCCTGCTAAGGATTAATGAGTGCTGTAAGTACATTCTGATAACGTGTCCCGCTGCAGGGCTTTGGATACAGGCTTTGCCTCCATGTCAATTTACACGGTTCAGCAGAACCAGCCAAAGGAAGGATATTCCTGCTACCTGCATTACCCTTTTGCTGTAGTTTAAAAGGAACGTATAACAGCGGAAGCTATTAGTATGCTACTAATTAAACTTTTAGATCTCAATCAACTAGCTTGTCTCTATTTTAGATACAGAAGCAGGACAAAGAAATTTAATTGCAAGACCGTTGCTGGGGACAGAATTGTTCTGCACTTGAAAAAAAAAAAATGTTCTGCATTTTGAAAAAAAACCAACCGCATTTTACGAGTAAAATCTTCAGGAAGTGGCTGAATGCGGCAGGGAAAATCCCAGCCGCGGGAAGGAAAATCCCGGCTACAGCGAGGTGTGCTCGCGTTATCGAGGGCTGCTGGAGGTGGGATTTTAAGAACACTTATGTCTTGGAAAGGAGTTATCCATTTAACTGAATCTTCAGTTTGGACCTACCTTATTAGAGGAGCTCAGGCGAGCTTCACGGTGTTCTTGGACTTCCCCCTCCCTCCCCTCCCCTTTTTCACAAATCATCATGTACAAAATCCAGTTAATTTCAGTGGGGTCGAGCACAGGCTGAGTGAGGAGGTGGTTTCACAGATTTCACAGATCATGGGTTTGTGCATATATTAAACAACGGCTACGAACTTCCAGCGCGCCAACAGGCGGAACAGGATACTTTAGGTAAATGCAGCAGCGGGTCGCTGGTACTCGGCGCCCGTCACCGGCTCCGCCCCCAGCCGGCGATCCCGGAGCCGGCCCCGCTCCTCCCCGGCTGCGCAACGGTGACCCGTCACCCCGCGGGCTCCGCCCTCGCCGCGGTTGCGCGCTGGGAGCGGAGCGGTGCGGGGCCGATGCTGCGGGGGGCCGCGCTGCTGCCCCGCGCCCTGGGCGGCGGCTGCTGCTGCGGGACCCGCGGCTGGGCGGGCGCGGCGGGCGGCGGGTCCCTCCCGCGGGCCGCCCCGGGGCTGCCGCCGGGCCGCGCCTGGGACAAGGACCGGCCCGCGGCGGTGGCGGCGGTGCCGCCGGGCGCCCGCGGGCTGCGCTGGGCCGGTGAGCGGGCAGTGGGGCGGGTCGGGCACTGGGGAAGCAGAGCGGGAGTGGCCGCGCTGGGTGCGGTGCCGGGCCGTGCCCGCCCGCTGCTGGGGGATGTCGGGTTCGTCGGGGCCTTGTCGTGGCCGGCGCTGCTCGACTCGTGTGCCCGTGGGTGGTGCCGGCGGCTGAGGGCAGGGCACCGCGCCGCGAAGGGGGAAGTGCGGTGTGCTGGGGGTAGAGCTGTCTTGTCTTCCTCCAGGTAAACTATGCCAACATGCCCCCACAGAGACCTCCCAGGCCACCCTAGCCAGCGTATCTCCTGTTTTTGCAGTGGTAAGTACTTCCTGCAGGCATTTCCACCTGCGAGGGCACTTTGTGCAAGATTGCAAGATGATGGTGCTCTTTCCCTTCCTTCTTTTTTTCTTCTATTTTTTCCTTTTTTTTTTTTTTAACTCTTAAAGCGTCATAAAAGCAGATGAAGTTGTGTCTCGGAGGAGTTCTAAATTGCTGGTTTGAGGTACTCACAGTATCAGTCAAGATGCTTTTCTAAGATCCAGCATCCGGTTCTTAATTGTGAAGGCAGGTCAGCTCTTGGAACTGCTGCAGTCAGAAGTTGTCTTCTTAAAGATTGTTAAGGCTTGCTAATGCCTTTTAGAAATATTAGTCCTGTGTCTTGATAGCTGCAATTCTAACTAAACATAGGATTTGATGAAAAACAAGCTCTCTCTATGTTTTTTATTTTAAATGAAACTGAAAGCTGTTTGCCCCTTTATACCATGCTTTTACTTTTGGTCAGCCCTGAAGTGGTCAGGTAGTTGGACTCTGTGATCGCTGTAGGTCTCTTCCAGCAGAAAGTCTATGCTATTCTAAGAGTGATCCTCTGTAAATCACCTCCTTAACAAGGTTTATGTAGGAACATGGTAATGCAGGTGACACTGGTGACAAACACAGTGAAATATATGGCCATTTGGTGCAATATTTTGCTTAATTGGGATGAACTGTGAATAGAGGGCATAAAAAGTTGCTTTCTCTTAATAATGTATTATCCATAGTGGTTCTGTGAAAAAAATATTTTTTTTCCCATTCCTTCAGATGAAGTTTGACAAAGAGGGAAATACTACCTATTTTGGTAAGTTTTCATTGTAGTTTTGCTTGAGTTTTGTTTGCCTTTTTTCCTTGTCCAATACAGAAAAGCCCAATTGGGAATCTACATGGAGTAAAAAATTATGTTTTGGATACTTCACTGTGTTCATTTGGGATGTTGCAGCATTTCCTCTGTTTTGCTGCCTCCTTTGGGTCTTCATAGCATCTTTACTGTTAAAATTTTTGTGTACTTTTAAATAATATTTTAAAAATAACGTATTACCATCTCTCCCAGGAAGGTAATTTTTGCTTTGTCTTTTCCCTTTTTGACCAGCATGCTACTTTCTCGGCCTTATATTTCCCTTCCTGTGGAATTACACGTGCTTTCTCAAAAGAGTCACTCATTTCTGACATGAAATTAATTGTTGCGGCCAACTTTTTCACTTATATCTAGAATTTTTCTTTTTCCACTAAAGATACAGTCTTCTAAACTTTGTAGAAAATAACTTACGTTGAGGAGTCAATGGAAGAAATGTTTTAGAGATAGCACAGCTTTTTTTTGTTTGTTTGTTTTTGGTGGGACTTAGTAACACACTAAAATATAATTTCAGAACATATATGCTTGTCCTCTAAATGTCTTCCTCTAAAAATACTTTTATGATAGAAAAGAAGAAGACAGAATTGTACCAGGAATTGGGTCTTCAAGCACGAGATCTAAGATTTCAGCACGTAATGAGCATTGCAACTAGGAACAACAGAATCATCATGAGAATGGAGGTAATGGTTTCCCTCTAGCTGAGTGTAAACCTTGTCTTGCATTTTCATTTTCTTGCGCGGTTCTTTTAATACCAGCTTCCTGTGACATGCAGTCCAGCAGTAAATGTGTCTTTGGAGCGCTGTGTTGCAGTCAAGAGTACGAGTTTACCCACAGTACATATTAATGACCACTTTCCTGGTTGAGCACAGGAGAATCATCACTAACATTGCCACAGAAGTAAAGGCTTATGAGGAGCCCTTCTTAATCACTGACACAGTGCTCTGTCTGAGCCCATTTGCTGTTAGCATGAGATTCTGTTATTTTTGTGCCTGAAAAGACATCAGAAGAATGGTTTTATCAAAGCCCAAATATAAAATGTGCTACAGAGTTATGAGAAATTTTCAGAGTGTTTTTTTCAGATTCCTTACATGTACTTTCTTTTTCAGTTCTTGAAGGCTGTCATAACACCAGAGTTTCTGCTGATACTAGATTATCGTAATTTGAGTCTGGAACACTGGCTCCTCAGTCAACTAGCATCTCAGCTGGCTGGGGAAGGTCAACTAGTTACATATTCTCTACCCTTTGAATTCCGAGCCATAGAAGCAATCCTGCAGTACTGGGTGAGCTATCTCATTTTTATTTAAATTGTTTCGGAAGTTATTGTTTCATAGGAGGGACAGTATGATTTTATTCTTGGGTTAATATTTACACATACACATTTGTATATGTATTCTGCACTTCCTGTATGAGCTCTTTTTTGGTTTTGACTTTTTTGCTTTAGTTCTTACGGTTTTGTGTGTATGTGTGTTTTCATTCCCTTCACAATAAAGTGCTAATTGGATATGATGGCTTCACCATGATTTGGACAATTAAAAAACAAGTCAGAGTTCCATTCTAGAGACGTGCTGTAGCTGAAATGGAAGTCACACAAAAGTGCTGAGGTTTTTGGCCTCTTGAGCACGAGTCAGATGATGATTCCTAGCTATCATGAAAAATCTGTGCTTGCTAATGCTAATATGACATTTCTAGACAATAGCGTATTAGCTTTATCAGCTTTATTGGTGTGGCTGTCACAGGGTTTCAGTTCACTTTTTATTAAATACTGTATTTTACACTGACTTTGTCTTATAAAGTGGTATCCATATAGCAAGTATTTCCCAGGTATTGGAAAGCAGGTTGTATTAACTACCTGTTACTGTAAATTCTGTGTTGAGAGACAGGAGTCAGTTGCCCAAGTCATTCTAAATGAATTGTTTTAATTCTTATGAAGGATCATGTTGTTATCTAGATCAGCAAACTGCAGGGGAGACTTAACACTTTGCAGCCTCAGATCCTTGAGACACTGGAAGCTCTAGTGGACCCCAAGCTTTTATCTGTGGATAGGAGTAAACTACACATTCTCCTGCAGAATGGCAAGAGGTAAATAAGATTAAGCTGTGAAGAGTCTAGAAGATGACAATAGAAAATGACATGCCTTGAAATGTTAGAAAAATGGTATCTCATATTAATTTCCCAGGTTACTGTAATGCTGGGTTGTGCATCTTGTTTGTAAGTGTAAGAATTTGTATATGAAATACCTATTGATACAAGGGAAACGGGAAATATATTCTGAGTTGTCAGAAGTACAGCTGTGCTTCTCAAATAGCATCTGACAGAACAAAGTAATACCTAAGAGAACAAAATAACGTGAAAACATTCCCCATAACGTAAACCTTTGGAACTATGCTTTTTAACTATTGTATGTATAGTATGCTTTAAGATTACTAGTACACTGGTCCTTCATGTATTAGCCTCTCTAAAAAGACAGTGCAAATATGCACTTGCTACATGCTCACAGAGTGCTTGTTTTTTCTGAGTTACAAATATACCCAGAAAACACATCTGGATCCCTTTTAGTGTATGTCTTCACCTCACTGATCCCCAGACAGATCACTTGCACTGCTAAGTGTATGGTCTGTAGAGAATCTTTTGAAGGAGCTTTTAGAACCCTGCAGGAAAGTCTTCCCTGGCCACTGCATCTGGTGAGGGTGCTGGCTGGCAAACTCACTTAGAGTGAGTTACCTTCGTGCACTGGTGGAGGCGGGGATTACTTGACCTTTTGCCTGTTCTTTCTTCAGCTTGTCAGAACTGGAAACAGATCTTAAAGTTTTCAAAGAAACAATTCTGGAGATCTTAGATGAAGAAGAATTAATAGAAGAGCTCTGTCTATCTAAATGGACTGATCCACAAGTATTGTATGTATATTTCAAAACCACTTTTTTAATGGTGAATTTTGTTTAAGGGTAACTTGAACACTAAACTGCGTGTTCCCTGCTAAAAAGAAGAAAAAGACGCTCTAGTTTTTTAAAGCCCCAATACTTGCTACTTCAGAAATCATTGTATTTGACATTTTGGAGAGGAACTTCATTATTACTTTTTGTATTATACAGTTACAAATAGTTCTTGGCATAACAGGCCAGCTCATCAGGTATGTATTGGGATGGGAGCAGGATGGCAGAAAAAGCAAATGATGTTGTTTTTCAATATGAATCAACACTTTCTGGGAGCATTTCCTCAGTTTCACCAAAAGAAAAATGAAAGGGGCTCTGAAAGCTTGTCTTGAATACATCAGACATCACACTTCCTTTACTAAAAGTGTTCTGAACACCTTGCTTGTAGCTTTTTGCTCACCAGCAGAACCTGAAGGAAAGAAGCCCTACACTCAGGTTTTGGTGAAAGATGGCATACACCAGCAGCAGCAGCACTAGTCACTTATTAAAAAATAAAAAGCAGAAAGATATACATCAGATCGAAATATATTTGGGGCATAATTGGATTTAAATCTGGGGCATACAGACATGTTTTATGTTTAAGCAGGTAGCAGAAACTACCTTTCAGGGTCCTTTGTGAAATTCCTGAATAATATTTTTGCCTAACTTCATTGCATGTGGGTGTTAATACTGTTCACACATTACCATGGCTTTGAAATCAGGAGATAGTTGTCTTGCCCTGCAGAGCTTAGTCTAAATGTGCAGCAGAAACTCAGAATTCCAGAAGTGGGACATGGTTTGCATTTCTAATGCATCTGCTGGAGCAGTGTTGTGGGCGTTCTGAATTTCAGCTGCTCCTGAGCCAGCAGCTGGTCTTTGTCCTGGTTTTGCTCACAGCCTTTCTTTGGACTTAATGCAGTCTGCTGGCAAGTCTCCTGTTGCCTCATGGTAGACAGTGTGTAGGGGATATCTAGGAAAGATCCCAGTGTCACCTTATACTCTCGTGTCAGGAGAAACCTGCAGTCATCCCTTCTTTCAGACGCTGTTGCACAAGGGTAGGAGAGGTGGTGTGAGGTTGTGTGAGGAGTGTTGGAGCTGTGCTGCAGGATGCAGTGAGGCAGTCTGTACACAAGGCACACTAGGAAGCACCAGCCCTGACAGCATGTTTGCAGGCAGGCTGGCAGTGTGTGGACAGCTTTTTTTGCTCCAGGATTGATGCAAAGGATATGTGTTATTTGATGGACTTGGGAAGCCCAACCAGAAGTTAGTTGGCACATATGCCCAGTTAGCCATATGGGTGTCATCAGAGATCTTTTGCAGGAGGAATGGTGAGCTGAGCCCAGAATGATAGGATGAGGCAGACCTCATATCTTTTTGGGAAGGAACAGCAGACTGTGGAAAACTCATGAGGCAGATGGAGGCTAGTTAATGAAAGCACATCCAGTGGCAGTTACTTTTGCATCTTTATGGCTTTTTGCCCCCTTTGTGTATCAGAGGAGCTGATATAAATGTAAAGATACTCATCAAATAAGACCTTGAGCTGAATCTGTAATACAGCAGATAGTGCTCTAAGGCTTTCAAGTCTGCAGCTCCTCTCATTTCCATGCAATGAAAACCTCAAGGTCTGGAGGGCTTTCAAATCAGCTTAGCCCCATAGAGAGAAACTGGGCTCTGCTAAAGGTCCTCAGGGAGCTTAGGTGGGTTGATTCGTAAGACATACTGCTTATTTTCTTGTAAAACCATTTCAGAGAGGTTCCTTTAACAGTCAGTAATGCCTTGAGGATATTCTTAAAAGACTTCAGTCTCTAGAGAAATTAGATCATACCACAGAAGAGAAAATTATGAAAAATCTTCCTGGCTTTGCTGCTGATTTCCAAGCTCCTGTGGATCTCAGGTGCCTCAGGTTTCATCTACACAATGCCAGAAACATACATTCCTGTTTCAGAGGAAGGCCGCTGCACCAGCAGTAGCACTATGAAGTAAGATGAAAGTCCCTTGGACAGATTTCTCTCAGGAGAGGAGGATCTTTCATTTGATGGTCACTCTTTGGCTGCTTCATGCTCCCAAAACGCTTTGCAGTAATTGCTGTGTATAGCTCAAATGCCTTACAATTAAACTATTTTAATACACACCTAAACCATCTCCATCACTGTGTAATTGTTTGTGTATTGACTCTTGGTTATGTTCTGTTCTTGGAGTTTTTGACTGCACTGTTACAAGCTCCCACCACTTGAGGGCACCAAGAAGTTAAGCATCTCCTGTCAAAATTGTTAGCACTTTGTAACTTAATAACATAAACATTTATAGTAATATAAACTTTATAAATAATATAAAATTTACATAACTTTCTAACTTTGTAATATCTGAAAAACTAAGATTTGTGGCGGTGTGCATGCCTTGATGCATATCAGATGCTAACTGCTCTACTCAGAATAATTGACTGCCTATGCTGAGCTGCTGATAAATAAAAAAATATCCCTTTTATTTTATGCTGTTGGAATTGATGGAATTTTCTCACAAAAAGATTGGATTTTGAGGTCTAGTGTCTAGCAGCACTCTTGTTCCCCACGAGTCTTATGTGCCTTAAGGCATCCGTAATACACTTGTATACAATATGTAACTAACCGGAAAAATATAAATTGTTGCTCACAGTGAGGAGAGTATGTCGGGGATTGACCATGCAGAGGAAATGGAGCTACTGTTGGAGAATTACTACAGACAAGCAGAAGATCTTGCAAATGAAGCTCGTGAACTCAGAGTACTGATTGACGACTCAGAAAGCATCATCTTTATCAACCTGGACAGGTTAGGTACCTGACCTGTTGGATTGCCAAAAGCTGAGCAGAATTTAATGCTACCTAGACTTTCTCAAATCTGCTTACAAGGGAACTTGGAGAATTTTGCCTTCCTGAGGGTTTGAATGGACTTGCAGTCACAGCTGTGCTGCATGTCTCTTACCAATGAACTGGATAAAGCAAACTAAACATCAGTTTTCCCTAGCAGTAGAAACTCAGCTTCTCTTAGATCCTTCTGGGGAGCTGTTCAATACAGGAAGTGTCTGCAGATTTAGAGGCATATTAAAATTCTGTTCAGAAAAGATTACTAGCTAGAGTCTGGCTAGACCACTCAGGTGTTCATTGAAAACTACATTATTACTCTGTGGAGTGATACAAGAATTAATAACTTGTAAGCAAGTATTTTCTTTCTCTCTGTATGCTACATTTTTCACTACTAGTCAGATTTCTTATTGAAAAATAATTGTAGCTTGCATTTGCGAGGACTCTGTCTTGGAGGTTGGTGTTTAATATTCTTCTCTTTACTGAGCAGTTATCTGTAGAAGCAATTAGTGGATGCTGTATCAGGAAACAACAAAAATCCTTTTTGTGGAGATCTGAATATGGAATTCTCCCGAAGAGGCTCAGGTTTATAGCCTGCAGCATTTACCAACTACTTTTTTGTAAAGTGTATTAATTTGCAAGTTAACAATAAATTTTTGTTTCTTGTGAATATGGGCATATAAATTTAGTGGTGAGAGGACACAAACTTTAGCAGAAATTTACTGTTGCTCTGTGTATATACACCTCTGAGAAGTGAGAGATGCTGGCAAGTCTGATGATGATTAGGTAGAACCTGCTGCCTTAGAGGTATCCTGATGTAGCAATGTCAAAACAGTAGCCTCTTTGTACTGTTGTTTCATGGTCTTTGTCATTGGGTTGCCTAATTCCAGCATGACTTCTCTTTCACTATTTTATTTTAGTGCATGCTGTATGGAATTTGAGAATTTAGGCAGCAGATCAATTTATGGGTTCCCCTTACAGATGTTTCTCCCTTCTTTAGCCACCGTAATGTGATGATGAGGCTGAACTTGCAGCTGACTATGGGGACTTTCTCCGTCTCTCTCTTTGGCCTCATAGGAGTTGCATTTGGTATGAACCTGGAGTCGTCTCTTGAAGAGGTAAGGAATGAGTGCTGTTTTGAGCATGAAATGTGGGCCCTGCTCTTATAGTGCATTTTAAATTTGGTACACCTTCGTTCTTTCCACAGACAAAGCTCCAGTGATTCATGTGTTCATGAAGTCACTTTTTTTTGTAAGCAAATGACTGCATGGCTAACTGCACAGTATTGTAGCCTTTTTTCCACATCCATGGAAAAGTAATGGGAAGGTAAATTTTTGATTGTATGAGGATTGACTATAAAGTAGTATTAAGGTTTCTTTAATGATCAGCTATTCTGAAAAGACCAGCTTTGTCTTCCAGATCCAAGGGTATCTGGCAAGCAGCCAGGGCATTTTCAGCAGACCAGAGGAAATACTCTACTCTCAATACATGTTTATACCTAAACTAGGGAGGAGGGGGTACAAACTGCGGGGTACAATTTCTAAACTGCATGTGCCAGCTTTAAAACAAAACAAACGAAGCAAAGACTTCTTCCTTTTCAAATCAATTAAATATAAGAGTTGAATTTTCAAACTTTCTGATGAAGGAAGGAAAACTGCATGGGACAGCAACAGAATACAGTACAGTGATTCCTAAACAGCTCTTTTCCCAAGGTGGGGCTTGGCTGTTGGTGGTAGGGAGTTTACCGCTTCCTCCTATAAAGGAGGAGAACACTGGTGGGGAGTAGAGATTATCATTGGGTCATCCCTTTTGTGAAGAGATGGTTGCATGACTAATGGGACCATTCTGTCAGTAGGACCCCAGGATATTTTGGCTGGTGACGGGGATTATGTTTCTGGGAAGTGGTCTGATATGGCGACGCTTACTTTCCTTCCTTGGGCGGCACCTAGAACCTCCACTACCTCCTCACGTATGTATGGCTGGCCAGCGTTTCTGTCTCACACTCTGCATGTACAGTCCATTTCTAAAGGAGGAAATAAGCTGTTCTAGAGGAGTAGGCCACAAAGCATGGAGGAATTCAACTCAGGGCTTGGTCTTTGACAGAGAAAGTGCTCCTAGCTGGATTGAATGAGGTGGGAAGCCCCAGCAGTGGCCAGAAGTGAAGCTGCAGGCTGTTCCTTGAGACATGCTATATCTACTTTCACCTGGCAGCCCAAGGAAAGCTGAGGCTCATGGTAGAAGCAGCCCTCATTTGCCTTCTCAGCTGCCACACCAGTCTGTTCACAGGAAGGCACATAACAAATGCTGGCCTTGTCCTCCCACCCACATGCTAATTATGGATCTATAGTCCCTGCCACGTAAAAGACTAAAGGAGGATGAGGACAAGTGCTAGCTGTAACATCTCTCTCAAGAGCAACGCCAGACTCAGTCTGAGGTTTGTAATAGCTCCTCACATGCATGCCAGCTGTCTTTGTCATCGATGCTGATGGTAGCAAGCTGTACGAAGATTTCCAAGGAGATCTGTCTTTAGATTAGCATGTATGAGTCGATTTCCCTGTTGACTACCCTTTCGTGGACTCCTGGAATTGTATTGTCTGCCTCTGGTGTGCAAGTAGTGGAAGTATTAATGGATTCAGAAGTTAAGTTGCTACAACTGACAAAAGAAGGGAGATTTGGATAAACTTCCCTTCTTACCTCCCCTCTTTTGCCACTAAGAGGCAAATGGAAATAGTTTGTTGTGGATTGTTGACTATGGCTGCAATTAACTGGATTATCCATATTTGTTGTTCAAAACCAAGTCCAGCGCATTCTGACTTTGGGTTGGAGAAATGTGCTGGAAGGGGTTAGGAAGGGAGAAGCAGAGACACTGTTCTGAAAATAAGGGGGGGAAAAAATCAGAGTTTGGGCCTCTGTGAAGCTTTATTTCCTTCTGCTGCATATAGAGCAGCTTCTCGTGTAGTCACAGGCTATTTTGTTCTTGCTTAGGTTTCTGCAGTTTTGAAAAAATCCCAATCATCGGCTGGAAGAGTGGAGATAAAGAACAGCCTTAAAGCTGAAACATTTGGGCTGAGCAGAACATTACCAAACCAATAGGAACATAAGGAATTAAGAGACTTCTGTTGTTACAGGGTGGACTTTGGACATTTCCTTGCACTCGTTCTTCCTTACTGAAAACTACAAGAATTTCTAAACTTACTAATTTAAAATATATTTTGTGCCAAAAAAAGTACAGTGAGATTTTTAATTCTTACACGTGAAAGGAGAGGAACACCAGGGAAAACAGCAACGTGCTTTACACAGTAGTCTAATCTCCACTCCATGTGTGTTCCACTAGTTTTCTGTATCACATACATATTGGGCATTCTCATTTTATGTGTTTCTGTCAAATACTTCTTTGCTTAATGGCCCTTCTTAGAGAGAACAGAATTTTTTGCTTAAAGGATGACAGCAGTCAGCATTCATCAAGTATTCTGGGTTCTGAGCTGCAGATTAAGGAATCAGACTTCAAATGTCAAAGAAAAATCCACCCCAAGAGGGATTTTTAAATGGATTTTTAAGGCCCTATTTAATTGCAGAGAACAGATTTTCCAAAGCAAAAAGCATACATCTTTTCATCTTTTGTGAAGCATGACTACTGAATTGGCAGCAACCAGAAATAATAGTTTCCCTTATTTTACATGAGCAATAACAGGCTTTGAAATGTAGCTACATATCTTGGTTATTCCCTAACAATTAATTTAGGCCCAAAACATGCAGTTTTAGGAACAGGGAAAGCAGACTTATGGATAATGCCCACTTGTGTTTGCCACCTGATAATATTTCAACCATGCATTGATACAGCTGCAGTTTAACAACTCCTTCTGTTGTCACGAGGACTGATTCAAATTCTGCTAAAAATCAACAGATGGGTTGTTAGTTTCTGCTAACTGGCCTATGCTCTCTCTCTTCTCTCCAAGACAAATGATGGACTAGCTTGCACCACAGTAAGTAGCCAGGTTAGTAAAGGGTGTGGAAGCCTGGTATCCTGTGATGGACTGAAGGAAGGAATAGAAGCCTTATGCCCACTGTTTGTGTTTTTTCTTAGCACTTTTCTCTGAGGGCATATTTCTCCACTGGTTTCTCTCAGTCCATAGAGGGAGCATGAAATCCTTTTAAAGGAAGTAATAAACTGCCCATTTCTTGTTTAGGTTTTTTTAACCTTGCTGTAACAGTGAGCAGCTCCTTAGGTGCCACCAGATAAGTCACTGTACTGGCAGGAGTTGGAAAAACAATAACTGTAGCTGTGAACATTTTTACTTGGGACTAATGAGTCAAAGATGAAAATAAAAAGGTACATAAAGTTGTGCAAGCCTGTGATGCTAGTTTGATTAAAATCGGTTGTATGTAATTATTTTCAAACAGTTCTTTCTCTGTATGTGACTTTCAATGACAGATACAAAAGGCACAAGTAGGTGAGAAAGTTAATGGGGTTTGTAATGTTTTTGAGTTTTTTAGCTGAATTTTTTTGCAGTCTTTTGGCTTAGCGGGTGAAGCTGTAAAAACGCTCTAAACTGAACAATCCAGTAGAAGAACCAAGGGCTCATATACCTTGGCTGACAGTTCAGTGTGTGAAAAGGCATGGATGCTGATGTTTTCAACCAAGTTGTAGTTGCATGAGGCCAGAACTGAAATATGTGGGTGCAGCTGTTTGAGAAGCTTTCACATAAGCTTTTGTGCAGAGAGGTTTCTGTGAACTCCTTTTGACTCCTTTTCCTGTACATAACTGACTTAAAGCACAATAAAAGCACAGAGAGAAAGACAGGTCTTTTACAAGACTGCCTTTTCTCTCTACAGACATATGCAAATGTTTAATGTTTTTCTTATAATTCAAGTAATCAAAATGCAGTCAGATGCAGTAAAATTAATTACTTTGAGATCATACATAGGAAAAACAAAAGCCAGTGGAAGGTGTATGTTCAGAATGGAATTGCTACAGAACATACTGGTTTCATCAGTTTTCATTTAAAAAGGAAAACTCTATTCTGCCACCCTTACAAGTGCACTGCTTGTTTTGCCTCACACCACATTTCACAGATTTATAAGGTAAGTACTGTGCTCCCAGTCCTGTCCATTAACTTCTTTCATGAAGTTCAAAGTTTAATTTTTATAAAGTGTTTTGCTGTTTGGGCAAATCCACAAAATAGATGTCAGAATGCATTATACATTAAGCTGATGTTCACCTTGCCTTTTTTTGATTTGCTTAAAGCAACATCCCTGAGAAAGAATTCATAAGAAAGGTAGGTTGTTTCATTTTGGAGTACGACCTTTAGAATTCTGTGCTATTCCACCAACTTGTGTTATTTATAATAAAAATAATGCTTTGCATTTGTGAAGGAGGCAAGAGAGAGAAAGTACATACACATATGTGACTATGGACTAGGGTTGGTAATAATAGTATCATCACATTTTGCTGTTCAAGTTGTTTAATAGATAATGCATGCTCTTGTTAAACCTGCAACATACAAAACTAATGTTAATAGTTGAAGACAATACTGTTAACAATAAAAGCAGTTAACAATTCTGAGTTACCATGGTCATGGAATTTTACATGAAAACACAAAGCGTATCAGAGTAGTCAGCCACAATTGCAAAAGAGAAAGTATTTCCTAAAACTTGCTTGTTCTTTTCTTCCTATGAGATCCCAGCTGCTCTGCATCCTCAATCAAGACTTGCTAGAGACAGAGACAGTCCTGTTCATTGGCACACACTTTTCTGTCAGGATTAAAGCTGCCCCTCCTCCATGCTTGTTATTTTGACAGTAACTTAGAACACCTGTCTTTATCACAGTATACAAGGAGTTGTAAATTATGCTGCTGTTTCCTGGTTTTGCCAAGAAAATACTCATATCTGACCAGTAAAGAAGGTGACCACTGAACATTCCTTATACAGCCAAATACTACTTCCAAAAATCTAGCTACCTGCTCATTTCAGCCTCTAAAAGATTTTCAGACCAGCTGGTTTGTTCTAGGTTAAGTGATGTTGCTGCCTACAACAGAATTCATCAAAAGCTTGCTGACATGGGGTCTGTTGGTTTGTGTAGGTTCAGGAAAGTGTCATAGATACTACAGAGATTCTTCACTAAAAGACCAGCTATGCCCTGGTCTTAAAGGCTACCATGAACTTTCAGAGCGAGTAGACAAAAAGCCTTCCACCAAGTCGAGCTTTCGCAGAACTTCTCTCTGCTGCCACTACAACTTCTTTCTGCAGAGATACAGAGCAAGGGTTAGCAAAATGCAGCTGCAGGTGTGTGGCTGCCTTAAGCTTCCATAATGGAAAGCAGATTTAGTCCATCTCGTCAGTGTCATACAGAAATGTGATGAGGAGAAATAAGAGAGCAACCCACCTCCTCAGAATAGCAGTTAACAAAGCAATTTGGCAAACAGGTTTTATTTCATTTGGGGAACTGGAGCAAGCTGGAACCAATGAAATAAGTCTGTTGGAAATATAAACTGTTTCTCAGGGCTAAGTTCAATACAGATGAAGCTGGAGTGGGTACTGGATTGGTGCCATAGCAATGGAACACAACAGCTTGAAAAACGGTCTCATTTGCACTGAGCAATGCCTGTGTTTCAGGTGTTGGATTATCCACCCTAGCCTAGCTGAGAAGAATTTACATTTCCAGGTGTTTCTCCATTGCATGTTTTAACAGCAAGAAGTTAGTTAAACACCATTTATTGAAGACCTGTTGTGTACCTCCTCTGCCTACTTCTGAGGCTTCCTCAGTACTCACACAGAGAATCCCAGTGCTCACAGAGGTGATGTCAGAGTAAGGAGAACAGCTTAACAAACACTAAGGAACCTTCAAGCTGAAAAAAAGGTTCCTCAGTGCATCATACAAACCTAAGGATTGATGTTTGGTAAAAATAATGGGCATCTGAGGGAAACAAAAGAGAAGCAGGTACACAGACATATCCAAAATCATTCCGGTAACTGGACCTCCCTGTGCTTGGAAACACTTGACATGAATGGTGTTTACTGCAAGAGATAGCCAGTACAGCAAGCCTGTAAAGACTAAATGAGAGGGATGGTAGGGTGCCATTCATAGCTGAGTATCCACTTTGCATACAGGCTGGCATGAACAGTAAAGCCAGCTGGCACCTACACTCCATTTACCATGCAACCTTTCAGCAAACTCCTAAGCAGTTTAGATTTCAGGCTGTTTTAAAGTGATTTCTTTCAATTCATGTTCCAAAATTTTGGCAACTCCATAGCTCATCCACCTATAAAATGGTTTTAATTATTGGTTCAGAGAATTACTTAATTAACTATGTTATATGCTTAAGAAGCACTTAAGGTTTCTACAACTAAGATGCATGTGAGGTGTTAGCTAGTACTTGCAAGTGAGGTAGGAAGATGTTACAAAGCAACTGACAACAGTAATTTTTCTCACCTTGCTTTCAGATTTCACAGAAATAACAGAACTCCCAAATCTTGATAGTTCCTGTAAATAACATTGCTTGTTATAATGCTGCTAGTTTGTTTGGTTTTTTTTAAATAGGACATTTTAGTTTCAGTAGTTTGTTTTCTGTTTACTTACCTCAGGAGAAATAAGGACATACTGTGCCTGAAGAAGAAAAAACGACAAAATAAATATTCAGTTGAGAGAACCATGCTAGGGGAATAGAAGACCAGTACAATAATCCTGGCTCCTAAACAACAAAGTCAGTTAAGAATGAACAGGAGGAGCCAATTTGCAGAGATTCAGAAACATGAGTAAACCTTTTGTTTTGTGGACCCAAGTCAGAATGCACTGCATGTTTGTACTGGATGTACTCATGTCCTGATTTTACCTTTCGTGTATTCTTACCCAGTCCTCAGGACAGGGAGATATCCATGATCTGCAGTGACCTGTCACATTCCCTGAGGATGCCTGCTTTCCGTTGTAAATATAAACACGGCCAGCTGCCCCACCAAACAGTATTGAGGAGATGCTATTAGTTCTCAGTGGGGATGTCACAATCATTTCATCTGCAGGTATTACAAAGATGACATAACACATCAGAAGGAAATGAATGCTAAATCAAAACACAAGAGAGAGCTGGCATTTACGTACCTCCAGATGTCACAATTCCTATTAATGATGGCAAGTAAAATGTTTCAATTTCTGACTGAGTTGCTTGGGATTTTAGAGAGGCCTCTCCGTAAGGCATGATGGAATACTAGTACAAGTCAGCTGGGGAAGCAGACTGTGTTTAGCACTTGTATGAACATGTAGGTGAGCGGTCCTCCTTTTGCTAAAAGCTAAACACTTCAGCTCTGATCTAGATTCATCAAGCATTACCTAGTCCATCGTTATCCAGATCACTTAAGTATATGTCTCCTCCGAAACGAGAAAACCTCCTGTCCCCACTCAATGTGCTAAGCAAAGAAGGCTTGGTGCTGTCTGTCAGGTCATATACCAGAGCCAGCCCAGCTTGATGCAGCACTGAGGACATAAATGAAATCCTATACAGGCTGTCTGAAAAAAAAAGTAACAGAAGTTGAGCATCTGACATAGGAACTCAGGTTTAATACCTACAATACATTAAGAGCAGGTAATACTGGCATTACATAAAATGGACAAACTATAATTTATCAAATAATATCAAACGTTATATGGGATTAACACTAATTAGCTCAGGGAAAAATCTCTTAGCCATAGGACATGGGGAGAAATGCATTCAAGTTAAAGAGAGATTTCTGCATTTTGACTTTCCCAATTCCTTACTGTCTGCTGCCAGAATGAGGACAAAATACTGTGTTATTTTAATTCCAAGAAATATGCAGTCTACCAGCAAATCACTGCTACATAAACAATGTAAGGTAGTAATACTATTAAACCAATTTTAAGGATGGAAAAAACCACATTGAAACAGAGGCATAGTAGAGAGACTCTACATGTAAGGCACTTGCAGGTAATTACAGTGATTATTTCTAATTAATTTTTTTTTAATTACATGGCAATTTAAAGGTCCTTTTTCTAAATTAAAAGTCGTATTAGTCGTCTGGTCATACAGAAACAAACATGCTAGGGTAGAAATGGCTTTCAGTTTTCAGGACATACCTGCAGTAGGTGCACCCACCACCAAAACTCTCCTTGTGTTCCCAGCCACAGACATCACACCACTGGCCAGAGACAAACCCATTCGGCTCATCTCCTGTTAGATTAAAACACCTATGTAATTTCTACAGATTGTCACTTTAAATTATTCATAAGGTCCCATACTGAAGAAGAAGCCCTACCTTGTCTCCAGTTACCGCAAACCAGCGCTCTGTGCTCGGTGGGTTGTACCCGTACACCTTCCCAACACTCTGTCTGGCATCCGATGAGAAGGGATTGCATCTTGAATTACAATGCAAAATATAGTGGTTTGTAACAACATATTTTTGTACACTCATCTAGGAATGCTACTCTTAAAAACTGTCCCCTTTTACTTTGGAATAATAGTGCCTGCCAAATTCTAGAAATCTATTTTAGTAATTCCCGTATGTGTCCTAACTAGTTACACAACATTTAGAGCACAGACTTGGCCTGTCTATCCAATCCTTTATCATCCAATACATTTTTGTCTTTGGTTTGCTTTTAAAAATGCTCTCTCAAAGTAAGAGTTATGTATACAATTACTTAAGGCATGCTTACCTGTCAACATTTTTGTGGCCCCTCTCCCCAAGGAAACTCAAGAAATTCTTCAGTGTCTCTAAATAACAAAGACCTGCTCTACAAAGGGTCTAAAGCCCCCATCTTCATAAGGAAGTGTGACGGTATAAAATACGAATTTAATAGAAATATTAATTTAATAAATATAATCAAAGCAGGACAGAGGAAACTTCCTGAAAAGCTAGAACTCTAATCTATTACAAATATTAAACCTTGTGGAAATAGAGCAGAATGGAGGAGAGATCAAGCTCTCACATACAACACACCTAGCACAACTCTTCCATGTAGGGCTACCAATCAGTAGTAATGTTGTGTTCTCCAGCTGGCATCTGTCAAGTGAAAATCCAAACCAAGCATAATTTTCTTCCCCCTGCACCATCCAGTTGGCATCCTGTACTGACAGAAATTCTGAGAGACCAGAAAAATATTAATTAAATCTTGGTGTACCCTGGCATAGAAAAATCCATTAGCAATCCTCTACTGATTCATCCTATGACAACAAGTTTCTATAAGCAAAATTACACTGTCCATGATATGGCACCAGTAATTGCTGACTTCACTTGCTCACCCTGTAGCTGTGCTGGCTGGTGAAAGCCTTTATTTGACACAGCCTGTTTCTCAGTCCTTCCAGTAGCTTACACAAAGCACATGGAAGCTACCAGTCAAGCCTGCCCTAAACTAGTCACCATTTATCAGAACTTGTAATTCTTCAAAGGTGGTGGGTGTGGGAGCTTCAAATAATTCTGTCTATAATTTAAATAACTCATTCTGTGCCTTGGTTTTACAAAAATGTCAGTCAGCAGTGGGTTCTAGAACCCTTGTGGGTTCTAATAAGCTACAAAAAATAAGCATTATTGGAAATCTCACTTACATGGTTGCGACAAAGCTGCCCAACCTTTACTAACTTTATTTAGCTCCAAGTGTGACATTTTCTCCCTCATTCACAACACTCCTTATCACCTGTACTCATTAACTGTGTTCACTTGTAGTGTTCCTCGTTAGCCATATGAAGGAGTGTACAGAATGATAAAGATTCATCTTCTAAGGTACATTTACAATTTTCCAAGGAAGAGCAGTGAGCGTGCCCAACACACAGCTGAATCCATTCCTTTAGCAAGGCTTTCAACACAGTGTCCCACAATGTTCTTTTATCCAAGCTGGGACATTGCATCTGGATGGGTGGAGAACCAGATGGGAAAATACTGGTTGAGACAATCACCATCACAGGCCAGCAGACAGTGGGTTGTACTGTGAATGCCTGCGACAAGTGGAATGCCTTCAGGGATCTATCTTTGGACTCATCCTGTTAAACACTTTATAATAATTGATTTGGAGAAGGCAACAACATGGCCTTTCGTGCAGTTGGCAGATGAAAGGAGATTGTGGGGAGCCACCATTCAGAGGGACCCAGGCAGGCTAGAGGAACAGACTGGCAGGAACCTCACAAAATCCAGTGAGGACAAATGCAAAGCCTGACCGTAGGAAAGGAGATGCCCTTGCAGTGATAATAGGCTGTGAGAAGCTGTGTGGAAAAGGCCCTAGAGATAATGGTGGGCATGTGAGGCTCTGACAGCAAACAGCTGACAGTGTACCAGGCTATATAACCAGGAGCATGGCAAAGAGATGATTGTTCCCACTTTAATCTTCCCTAGACCGCGCCTATAATACATGGTTCAGTAGCAGGAAAGATGTCGATTAACTGGAGCAAATTTAATAGGGGTATTCCATGCCTTCTGTGCCTACGAGTTCACTGTGCATGGTGGGAGGACAATAGACAATGAGCATAAACTGAAACAAAAAAGGTTCATACTGGCTGTAACAAGACATTTTTTCCCTATGAGGACTGCCAAGAAGTGGAACAGCTGCCCAGAGTGGCTGTGCAATCTCTGTCATTAGAGATTTTTAAGACCCAAATGGACAAAGCCCTGAGCAATTTGGTCTGGCTTCACAGATCTCTCTTATTGAGCAGGAGGCTGGACTAGATACTCCCTGAGATCCCTTTGAACCTGAATTATCCCATGATTAATTAGGAACAAATGAACAGTCACATAAAATATGGGAGGGCTAATTTATTCAATAAATATTACCTTGGTCACTCCTGTTGAAATAAGAGTAAAATGCAACCACAAATCCTCTCTGCTGCCCACCACCAGGTGCATATGGAGAGCCCACAACCAGATCAGCATTTCCATCCCCATCAACATCAGCTGCCAAGAGGGACCAACCAAGATTACAGTAGGAATCCTGCAATAAACAGCTACTTTAAGCCTGAAATAGAACTGAAACCACCAATTTTGTAACAAAATAGAGCAACTCACATCTAGAGAGCTAACTAAATTACCCTCCCACTCCTTGGCTTCAGTTTTGTTTTCTTAGAGGGTTTTTGGATTGGTTAGTTGGGGAGTTTTGCCTTTTTTTTTTTTTGGCTATGCATCTTTCTGTTCACCCTGCTGCCTCCCCTGCACTGAGGTACAAATGTCTTTCCACATAAAACTAACCTAGGCAAGCACCTGCTTGCTCCATCCCCATCAGTCTAAATTCCCTTGCAATTTGATTTTAATGTTCTTTTTTCAAGCCCAGAAGCCCCTTTCCCCTTTATCTCAGCTCCCACTTGTGTAGACTTGTGTTGGCCTGGCTAACAGCATAACATATACAGGATATTATATGCTATCAATATACCTGACAAGTTATGGTAACATTTGGCTGAGATGCCAAGCCTCTTCCCTCAGAGCCGAAGTAGACATACACAGCACCCTAAACAGCAGGAAAATAAAATACAGCATGAGAGCATCTGCATGTCAGTACCAGGTACAAAATCCAAGGCAAATCACAAGAAGTGGAACAGTTCTGCAGGGACTATTAATACAACTGCATTTTTCTTATCACAGCCTTCTCACAATTCTGTCTTTTCTACCCCAAACCTAAGAATATTCATGTTGTTATGGGTAAGGCTGTAACCAAGCAACAAACTAGAGAAGTACATTTTCATCATACTGTGGGTAAGATGCAAGGACGGTGCAGTGCATATTTGTATTTGTTACACATCCACTCAGGTGGCTCAAATTTTGATAACTATTATTTAATGCAATGGCAAACAGTGCCAGGCACAACAGATGCACACAATTTTTAAAGGTAGTGGGTCAACATAAAATTTAAATTATCTAATTTCTTTTTTAGACAGATAAGTTAGTAGCTGAAATTCTGAAGAGTTTTAAGCTTAATGGATGTGGTTTAAATCAAAACATTTTACCTTTCAGTTTGCTTGAGCTGAAAATACTCAGGGACCATTACATGGGCTTAAATGGTAAACTGCAAGTCATTAAGCCTCTGTAAATTGATTATTTTAGCAAGTGTGTCTGTGTTCATATCACATTTTAGCTATCATCTGTCCACCTGTGACAGCATATGACAAAGCTCACTGATCCATGAGGTCCATTCCAGACTGTCAGTTCCTAATCAAAAAGAGTACACTTGTATTTCATGAATGGCCCCTTAAATTTCCAGCACATCAGTGCTGCAAAGTCACAATCTGATTTGGATTTTTAATGTGCAAAAAAGGCCACTGAAAGGGAAATATGGATAGCTCTCATTGCTCTAGTCAAAGTATCCACAAAGATTATAAACTTTTGTGTTTAAATTACAATGTCACCTTGAGCAACAACAGAAATTCTCACTCTCATTTCACTGTTCAAATAAAACCAAACAACAAACTTACTTTGTAAGTAAGAAACTGGGATCCCACAGAAGGTGCTCCAATTGCCAGATCTGGCACTCCATCCTCATTAAAGTCCAGGACTGCCAAAGCAGAACCAAATCTTCCTGAAGGCTAAAAGAAAAGGGATTGATCTCAGGAAAATAACAAATTTTTCAAGACAAAACCATAAAAACCTAATGCACATTTGCACAAGGAAGAACTGGAAACAAGATGACAAAAATCTATCAAAGAATTTTTTCTTCTCCCAAGTAATAACCATCATACCAATACACTAACTCAGAATCAATTGTTCTATTTGTGGATGTGGAGGTGTTAAAATACAAGATAACTTAACACAACATGGTGCCACTTTGCTATTTCCTCTTCTGAGCCCAGTGCACCATGGATATTAAGCTTATGATCTTTCCTGTTGATGCAATAGCTGTAAACCACTAAAACATTATATAAGAAGACAGCAGCTGTTAATCCACAGTTTATAACCACAGAAACAGATTAAAAGGAAATGTATCTCATTTCTCTCTATTCTATTCTTTGTGAGTAAAGATATTTTCTATAGAGGATGGTATTTATTACTCAAAAAGGTCATTTGATCCTGCTTAGTTACAAGCCAGCCACCAGCATGTCAAATCCCAGTTTCCTCTTTTATTTTTTTTAAACACATTGCACTCTTACTAAAGACAAACAATTATTTTGTGAGAATTAACCAATTAATTAAAAAAGTAGCTTTAAAGGAATTGAAACATATTGAATTAATATTATTATATTTAAAAGGAAGGGAAAATCACAATATTTTTTAAATGCAGGGACCTGAACGAGATATATTGGGACATACAGAGATATTACCCCACTTATATTCAAGGGCAAATTATGTTTTAATACCTACTTATCTGGCACAGTAATGAAAGTGAACCTACAGATCACTATTGCTTCAATTGTTCCTGTGACTTTAGTAATGGTTATTTTTCTTGAAAAGCATATGACATCCTTTAATCAGGAGGAGAATTTCAGGAATAATATTCATACACATTAACGATACCATTTCTCAGTCAAAATTTACCACATTTTCAGTCCAAAAAATTTAAGTGACAAATATCTGACTTGACCCCTCATCACCTGATGACCTTGTAGTACTTGGTCAGCTTTCCCATCCAAATCCATGTCCTCTCGTGGCAAACCTGACTGGTTACAGTAGACTACATACACCCGTCCTATCTGAACATGGCCCATGGTGCTGTACCCTGGTGCTCCAACCACCAAATCTTCATATCCATCCTGGTTTAGGTCAGCTGAGATCATTGCCCTGTACAGCAAGGGAGTCAACAAAATCAGCATTAGCTTCCAGACTACCACAACAGTAGTGGAAAATAAATAATTTTAATTCAGGTAAACCAAGACCTGTGTTTCCCGATATAGTTTTGTAAAAATCTATGCAGCATTTTTCATATTATATATTTGATTTGTGTTTTCTTGGATTAAATAAAACTAGATCCTTCAAGATTCATCTTCCATTAACGCACATCTGAGATCTGTAGGAACTGCTTTTTACTGACACAAGGCACCTGAGAGCCTTCATAGCAAGGAGCATGAAAAAGGGCTGCTTGCATATGACACAGAATACAAAAGATGAAATTAAGTATCTTTTAAACTGAGCCTCTGATTTAATTGATGGATTTAAAAGGAGATAAGCAAAGGGATTAGAGGTTTCAGTAACATGTTGGAGTTTAGTGAGGGAATGTGGAGAGAAAAGAACTAACTACTGCTAATTTAGCTGGTGTGAAGTAAATGCAAACATTAAATCCAAATTTTGAGTCATAATAAGTGAAGCAAGATGAGCAGCAATGCAAATTTATTTTAGTACTCTCCCCTGTTGCAGGTCAAGCTAGAACCTCTCTGGAAAGAAGAGAGAATATGCTTCTCTCTGTCCTGAATCAATCTTTGAACTCCCTACTAGTCTTGAGCATTTCCAAGGACACTCGCATCATCAGTAATCAACTCACGACAGCCAATTAATTTTGCACAAACATCAACCAACGACTAAAAAAAGCGTAACATAGTTCTCATACTGTTCATAACTAGAGCCGATGTTGGTTCTAATTTTGGCTCCTTCCATTCTGAGCTTGGTCAACATCTGAAAGAAAAGTCTTATGGGCTAACTTGCTGTTCTGAACAGACAACATAAGCCATTCTGCCAGATTTGTACAGCTAATTGATTTGGACCTTCACATTTAAGAGTATCCGAAGAATAAACAATAATATTTTGGTGGATACTCAATATTTTCAGAAATTAAGTGGGAGGCAGGAGGAAAAAAATTACAAACCATCCAAGTCTAGCATAGGGTGAGGTCAGAAAATATGAAGCTACTGGCTTGGAGATGTGCTTAGAAGATTTCTGATGTGTAGCTGCTAATGCTCTCCAGATATTGGTTGTAAAAGCACGGTTCATCAAGCGGAGGGAATTCTGAAATAAAAATAAGGAGACACAAGAATGGTTAAAACACAGGCTGAAACTCTAGAACATTTTGCGACACCTCAAAAACCAAGTCACCGACAGTGGAAATCACCACATGGATCTAAGAAGACTCTGAATCAGGTCATAAGCACCATTTTAGAAAGAGACAAAAATCTGTATGCACTAAATGGAGCAGTGTTAATTGTTCACTGCGATGCTTTGCTGGGAGTTCTTAACCCCCCCAAAAAAGTGATCAACTAATTCTGTAAAATGGAAATACTGGAGATATATTTTGTCCTTTTTGCCACTGCAAGATGTGTTCTAACTTCACTATACAATGAACAAAGTGTAAAAGTTGAGTATTTATGATGTACATATATAGACTAACAATTATACTGTAATCTCCTTGAAGTGAAGTCAGAGGCTATTGCTAATGTCCTGAGACCCTGCTCCATCGTGCAGCATTTCAGACAGAAATGAAAACAATTTTATATAGAGCTGAGTTTTACCTGACACGTCTGTCACTTCTCACTTACTGTTGCCCAAGACTGCATGTTGAAGTGAACTCCTCTTTCTGTATAGTTTATATTCTTCTCAAGTGATTCTGTAAGCAAAGAAGTTGTATTCTTGTGACGTTCATGCTTTGATTGTTTGTTTCTGCTAGAATAAAGAGGGCAGTAATAAGAATTAATATAACTGAATTAATGACTTGAGGTAAAAGGCTCTCTTAGGTTCTACACAGTTCCCCTATACAAAGTTTACTTATTCATGCTACAAGAATCTCAAATTCACACACAAAAAGATAAATAAAAACATCTCTAATTTTCAATAGCTCACTGTCCACATTAGCAGAAGACTCTCCTTTCACCACTAAACCTTTGAACCTCCAGAGCTGTACTTACATGTGGTTGTCCCTGTGCTCCTTTGTGCAATTTATAAACAGAGGGTTCTCAGGCAGGTAACAGCCACTAAAGAAAAATATGCAGAATCCACTTTAAAGATTTTCCTACAATGGAAGTGAAACTAAAAATACAAGTTTTATCCTTACTGATTCCTCTGCTAGAAGTCATCAGTTTTCTCAAGAAACTCAAAATCAGAGCATCATCATAATCCCTAGAAACCCCGCTGACATTTATTTTAATGACCTTGATTAGGTTCTATATGAATCTCATGTTTCTTGAAGGAAACTTAATGTAACATACCCTGTTATTTCTATGAATCTAAAGCACTTTTAATGAAAGTGCCATTCTGGAGCAAAGAACAGAACAGAATGTATTTCAAACATAATTTCCCAAAATAGCCACAGTGATATTTTCCATATAAATGGATGGATTAATTGCCACTGTTGGTCTTATAAAGTTATTTACAGTAAAGCTACATTTGTAAGAGAGCCATACAAAGCTGGTTGTATAAAAATATGAATTTGTGAGTAGAGGCCTGAGCTTCAACACTAGAATATATACTACTACTCTTTGTAATCCTATTTGCTTAAAGTGTCTGAAGGTAATATCTGACATCCTCTCAGAAGGGACATCTTTGCTGACTGGTGACAGCAGCCAGAAGGTGCAGTCTCAGATAGCCAGGCCAGGCAGAACTTTAGGGCATGGCTATGCAACTTTTAAGCAGGTCCTTGAGTATGTCTTAAAGAGTGCTCCAAATTTTCCCTGCTGAGTATCAGCTGGGGATGCCAGAGGCTTGCCTGGGCAAAGGAGTGTGAACGCATAAGAAATGTGAACTCAAGGTAATCCTGTACACCCAGGTAAAAGACATACATAGAAATCCCTTTGTCCAAGAGAGGATTTAAAGCTTAGCACCTCTTCTAGGAAAGAACCCGCCTTTAGAAGGGCAATTAAATGAGTGTTAAAACTTGACTACTGTGTTTCATATTCCAGGACACACACTATACCTGGTTCCATTCTCTAGCATGTGGCTGGTCATCTCAAAAATATTGTTTGTCCAGAACGCCATGTCATCCACTCCTCCAAGGAAATATTCATGGAACTTCTCCACCAGAAATGGAGATTTACTAGCATATCTTGGAAAAAGCTGAGAGACAGGCCACATATTTAGTAAGATGGACTACATTGTCTCCATGCTATCTGTTCATTTTTATAAAGGAAACAGAAGACCAACCTTGGCAACAGCAAGCCTTTCTCCATGCCTAAAAACAAAAAAAATCTTCGGAAATAAAACTTGCTTCACTTAGTATTTAAATATGTAAACAGTTCTTTTCAAGGTTCCTGTATAGTAAAAACTATGCAAGTCATTATATTTCCCTGTTGGTTGTTAAAATATTTTTTAAAGTTGTAATGTAAAAAGTAATGATACAAGCTCTGTTTTTGCCTTTAATTTGGAGGGATTCACAGTTTTTGTAAATGCTGTGTAACTATTGGTAATTAACTGAAACAGAGAATACAGCTGGGCTGTTTAGGGTATTCAAAAGCATACACTGCCAGATATCCAAAGTCTCTTTTGAATTATTCCTAGATTTGAAAGGATCTACATAAAATGTAGGTAACCCATCTATTTAGCAATGTGCACTACTCCTTCATATGTGAAAATTATATTGCTAACTTGCCGCAATACAGTAGTACTTGAAGACACAGTTGTTCTCAAATAAATAGGCATAAATGTGTTAAAGGTATAAATGCATTAAATAGCCAAGATTCAGCATCTGTGGTATAATAATTAATTTATCAGTCATTAAGCAGTTCAAATTTGAATTCTAGTCATTAAAAAAAACTCAGGTGTTTTATGATTTCGGGATCTAGTAGGGGGTCTGTATTTCTGACCTGCATGCATAAGGCATTTCAAAACAGCTATCATAATTTTCCTACATATGTTTCACTTACGAAAACCCAGAAAAAGCTATTCAACTTACAGTTCAAGATACAGCAGGAAAGTACAGTCAGTAATTGTGCTTTCAGTTATGATCTCCTTTCCATAAAATTCCTTATAGATAGCTGCTAGGTCTTTGACAGGCACATACCTAAAAAAGAGAAGAAGGTAATATTATAACAGATTTTCCACATCACCTGACAAAAGATTACAGTTTCTGTAATAAAAATAGCCTGCTATAAAATATTCTAAATTTCAAAAGGCTACATAAGGTATGATGATTTACAAATAGCAGAAAGACCAGGACTGCACATGCAGTTACTCCGTGCACAACACTCTCCGTTTGTTTAGATTCAAAGTCTGTAGAACCTTTCCCCCTATGGCTACTGCTAATAGTGTTTCCACACTGCCCACACTGTTTTCCTGGCTTGATCACATCCTCTTGGCGGATGTCCTCCAGCTCTCTGCTGTGCCAAATCTACTCCTAGACAAATAGACATTTGACACAGCTGTGTCAGAGATTTATTAGTGAACCATGTCTTCTACACCTACGTAAACTACATTCTACTTAATAAAATCAACTCAAATTACCTACTTTATTAGCAGAAAAAAAGTTCTTTATGAGTTTTTTATTTCAGTTAAAAACCATGAGAAAAAAAAATGTGTATATCTAAATCTTCTGCTCATTTTTATGCTTTTGAAACCTGTCTGGATTCAACATCCTCAACTTCCAAAACTTTAAATAAATCTCATATTTCCACTTAACTACGTTATTTAACTAATTTCTAGGACATTCCAGCAAAATGTTTTCACTGGTTATTTTATATATAAAACCTTATAATTCCTTTCAGAGATAAATAATTTAATCTTTCTTGTTTTGTTCCTATACATAAAACGCTTTTTTTGTATCCTTCCAGTTTTTCATGTCAGGGAACAGTACATATGCATATAAGGAACACCAAACCCAGAAAAATTTAAATAGCTGCAAGGGTTCCTTTTGAAAGAAAAATAAAGAAGGACAGCATTTTGTTAAAACACAGTGATTATACAGAATAAGTAAAAATAAATATTAAAGAAGGTAACCTCATTATCTTACCAATTTGATGCCAGATAACTGAATTCCAGCTCAAAATGACTCACTACATCTCCTCCTGAGGATGGAAGAATGCAAAAAACCTACATAGTCCAACAAACTAAACCTGTTAAGTATCTGTCATGGATAACATCACCCATGAAGCCACGTATGGCTATGCTGTCTGTATTTATATGGCAGATCTTCCGGTTATACATTTAGAATACATAAATGGTTCACCTGAAAGTATGCTGCACATTTTATACCTCCAGAGAATAAAAATTATTTACCATTTAAAATCACAGTAGTGACTCCATTTAAACACTAGCATCTTTTCATCTGCATTTTGGCTTTAATCCAACTGTTCATATGCCCTATTATATCTCCTGAAACATGGAGCATGAGGACAGGTATAGCAGGACTTTGCAAGCTATGGGATAGGGCAGGAATACAGGGTCCATATGACCCATTCTTGGCTCCTGCCTTGCATAGGCTAAGAGCCAGAATCACCCACTGTGGTTTTGAAGAGGACTAGTTATTCCAACAGAAGGATCTATGATTGGCAAACAGAAACATTACCAAAATCGCCAGCACTGTGAGCTTCTGAGTATGAACCATGAAAATCAATCTGGAGAAAGAGAAAAACAAGACAACTGCCTGTTTCTTTCAAGATGAGCAGAAACAAACTATCCAAGCAGCCCTAATGTTTACAGGTTCCAAACCTGATCAACTTCATTCCTATGAAATTCGTGACATTGCGTCTTTCCAAAAATCTTCCTGAAACAGGTCTCCAGCTTTTCTCTTCTCCACCACCCTGCCCCCCACAGTCAAAAGCTAGGCTATCCATTCCAATAAATCCAGTTGTATTAATAAATAAAATAATACAGGCTTACTTCTCCCATGGCCTTTAGAAATCCTTGGTCGATGCCCAGGCTATGCCAGCTAACATCTGCCACCATATGTGAGGCAATTCCAAACAGGAAAGCCACCAGTTTCTCTGTAGCCTACACAACAACAATCCGTTTGAAGCAGTATCAGTAATTTTACTCCTGTCTTTAAGAAGAGGTGAGTATTTTATGTAAGTGCATTATACGAGGATATAGGTGAGAAACTCTTACAGTCCAAGAACATAGCATAACAAAGTGTTGATCACTCATTCCTTGATGTTGGAGTCACTTTTTGTGACTAGCTTTAAGCTCTTCATAGGTCCAAGGCCATAGAATTATGTGGCTGATGTCAGGATAATTTGTGTACTTAAAGTTAAATGTGTACTGAAGTGTTTTTCTGGACTGAGGATAAACATTTCCACATTCAAGGAGTGAGCCCCCTCTGCCACCATGGGTGTTGTGCAGGCACACAGAGCAGAGAAGGACATTCCTGTGCACTCTCACTTTTGACAAATTGTTTTTCCTCTCCTCCTACATAGTTCATAGACCATAAACAAGAGCAAATGAGGACTAAGTCAAAGAATACGAAAGTGAGAATTCTAAAAGATGTCTCGTTTTCAAATGGCAAACCCTCAACCAGATCTGACAGGAATGCAAGATCACCAATCGCATCTGAAAGTTTGGATCTATGAAATGTATCATAAGCACCAGACCACAGTGGAGATAACTGACAGACTTTACATGGAAACTGTAACTTTTGGTCTGGTAAAGATGAAAACAGGATTTCAAATGTTCCTATGTCAGGAGAGACTTTAATGTAAAAATGTGGGTTTTTTTCTACACTTCACAAAGGATGAAATTGTAACAAGTGAAGGTGAAGAAAGCAGTTGAAAGCAAAGTCAAAAGCTGATGAAATTTTCTTACCTCTTCCCAAGGCTGAGGATAATTCCTTCTGATGTACTGAATACTTGCTTTGAGAAATGGTGACCAGTGAGTGTCTTCAGACACATCATGGAATATTCCTATTGCAATAAAACTATATCAGTATTTCATTTGTTCTTTGAGGAAAAATGAAAAAAGCCACAGACTTTTGTTCAATTTCATATCACACAGATGATACAACTGGAATCCATTTAATGAGAAGAGACTTATTTTATATGATTTATACTATCAAAACAAAGACTACATTTACCTTCAATGATTTTGGTTTGAAGCATCTGAAAATTTTGTGCCTGCTCTCTTTTTCTGTGCCTATGAGTAGGTACAGTACGATGAAAAGCTGCCTCACAAGCAGAGAAGATAAAGAGAGTTGACAGAGAAGTTGTTGACTAAATTGATGCATTCACTTGTATGGCAGAAAAGCTGATGGGCATGGCAGCCAACTCAAAATATCATGTTTTGGGACAGGTATCAGTTTCCACAGGGCAGAGAAGGGCTATGTCATCATCATCATCATCTTTTTCAACAGAAAGGCAAACTTGCCAAGATACAGTTAGTGTAGGAGTAGAAAAAGGGCAGAGGAAAGCTAGTCTTACACTGTTCTGTTATTGCTGGGGTTTTATATGCTCCTATCCTCTTTGTGACTGATCTGATGGAAACTAATACTTCTTAATACAGAAATTAGCACTAGGCTTTCCATAAGACTTAAAAAAAAAAAGATCATTTTGTCCTCTCAGTTTTTCCCCAAGACAGTATTTAGTAATTAATCCGGTCTGCATCAGGAAGGCCTGGGGAATGAGCATAAGGATACCTTACCTAATATCTTTTCTTGGAAGATGAGCAAAATTCAATACAGTCATAATATAGAAATTAGCACTAGGCTTTCCATAGGACTTAGAAAAAAAGATCATTTTGTCCTCTCAGTTTTTCCCCAAGACAGTATTTAGTAATCTGACCCATTAAATACCCATTAAATTACATTTATCCCGAAGTTACACTCTAAAACCATTTTCAAATGCGTTGTTTTCCTGCTAAGTTTTACAAAAAGGCTTAAAATACTAACAAAAATGGCAGATATTTTTTGCAGGAAGGTGTTTTTGGCCATACTTCATTTCTTACAACATAACTATTTTCAGCCCTACTAAATTCTCTAGGATTTCCACATAAAAATACAGTTGTTAATACCTTAGACTCATATAGCTTTTCTTACCCGCTTTGCAGACTGGTGAATAAAAGGCATCAGGATAAATGCTCCCAGCTTGAAATGCATCTTGGTGGTTTAGTAATAACTGGGGAAAGAATGTGGGAAAAAGGAATCAGAATGCTATTGCACAGCATGAAAACACATTTTACTGCCTATATCAAAGATAAAATTTAAATATCCAGCAAGATACAACTATTATCTTGGTAAAATACACCATGTGGTGCAAAAAACCTTGCTGTCATTTTGCTGTCCTTATGTTTATTAAATCTCCTTTCCAAAAGTCTTCTACTTCTAATACAACTCCTAATACAATAATTCTTCTAATACAAATACTCATGTAGAGTATGACTAAAAAAGATGAAAAAACATGTAAGAAACTACACAAAGTATATATATACACATTGGTATAATTGTTACGTATTTGTAAAAGTATTCAGACGGAGTCAAATGATTTTCAACAGAAAAAAATACAGTCTTGGCACAATGTTGACACACATATTACTGAGAATAATAACAAAAGGCAAGAAGATGGACAGAAAAACATTGAGAAGAAAGCTGTACATAGTTAAGCAATAATGTGCTTCGTACCTGTCTATAATTAACACTCCCTTCATTCTTAATGAAAAATTCCAGAGCTCTATGTGCTGAAAAACAACATATTGAAGTATTGATTTATAGGTATTGTGTCCACGTCCGTGTTTTGTTAGAAGCATTAGCAAAACCAGAATACACCACATTTTCATATCTAAACCAAGTGGCACATGCATGAAACATGATTTCTCACAGAATTATGTACCTGTGAGAGGGTGTGTTTTCTCACCTAGGGAGCTAATGAGGAAGTGCTGCTTCTGTGGCAGACTTAGGCACTTGAGGTCTCATCAGTCTGTCTAATCCCCAGGTCCCAAGCTGACCAACTAAGTTAAAATCACAGGGAAGTGAATTCCCCATGTCCAGAACTGAGCTACAGCAGTGAACTGAAAGGATCACAGCCAGCACATACAGAGCATGGACCATAAAGCTGTAGCTGTACTTATGTTTCACTGTTGCCCTTAACTTTGAAAAAGGTACCTTGGGAATCAAGGTGGATGTTTAACAGTTTGATTAATTTTTAACATGTATGAAAAGCAACAAAAATCCAAAGTCAGCAAGGTAAATAACACTGTTTATTCACTGAATAGGCAGGCATTCTTACTGTCAAAATCTTTATTAAGTGTAACGAGAGAATGAAAAAAATTGACACTACTTTCCTTTAATAAAGTCTCCTATTAATTAGTGTTAGGAATGATCCATTAATACTATTCTAAAAATACCCAACATTGTCATTAAAAATATTTATAAAGTAAGACTAAATTTAATTTGTTCCTTATCAAATAAATCACATCACAAAAACCAAAACAAAACGCAACAAAAATATCCCACCACTAGTGTTCTGGAATACGATATAGACAAACTGCATGGGTTTGAGTGATCTTTCATTTTGAATTTAGATCACCCACTGATCTAAACAACCCTTTATTCAAATATGTTGAGATACCTTAAGGACCAGTCTTGGACCAAAATAGGAACAACAGCAACATATTACTCCTACTGCTACCACTAATAATAATAATAAATAAATCATCTATAATATTATGGTTCAGACATTTCAACACACATCTCTGTTTCCAGTGTGGGAGAGTCTCAGTTTGCCAGTTTGCTTTTTGTGCCTTCCATCTTCCTTTCACTTTTCTCATTACTCAAGTGGGCCCAGGTCCCACAACTCCACTTTTACACGGAATTTTGTGACGTGTCTCCATAGTTCCACAGAGCCCCACAAGTCTGACAGAAGTCCCTGGGTGAAAAAGCCTCCCCACTCAGACCTGCCTTCAGCAAGAAGTCTGTGGCAAGTAGGACACAGCACAGCTCTGCGGAGCACACTGAACACGATTAACATTCTGAACAGGCAGAGCTTTTCACCATTTTAAAAGCACTTTCAGAAAACTGTCCAGGGTAGACTTTGGTGCTGGTTTTGAGTCAGAGGACTTTCTTTCTGCAATTTGTTGTTTGGTGTTTTGTTTGTTTTTTGTTTTGTTGGGCGTTTTTTTTTCCTGGAATACTCAGTGTTTGCGTTTCAGGAATACTTTCATCTAATCATCATAGACTTTTATGTGCACAATAAAAGCACTCACTTTAGCAGCAGAAGAGCTGATCATAGTTTAATGTCATTTTTAAACAAATGGTTTAAATTAAACAATAGACCCCAATAGTTCAGTGTACACAATACTCCTCAGACAACCAAGATCTTTAAATTATGTAAACACAGGTTTTCTGCTATATGTTTCCTGGTTTAGAAAAAAATGACTGCTTGGGGACAGATCTGTAAGCTCATTTCTCTTAGTAGATCTTTTTGCAAATACACTCCATTCTAGCAAATCTGTTATTTCAAGTCTTCAGAAGCTCATACTCAGTAATTAGAGCCTCGAGCTGGCAAAGATGTATGCACTTGCCTAACCTCAGGCATATAACTTCTCCTATTGATTACTATGGGTTTCTTGACACACCCTCAGGCAAAGCAAATGGTTCCAGGATACTGACTGAGGGAACAACACTCAGTAAGGGAACATACTCTCAGTCTCGAATGCCAGCCTTTAACTTGTTCAAAGTTGCATGCATTCAGTATTAAAGTCTGAGAAGATCACCTGAATAGAGGCAACATCCTACGTTTTACCGTCTGTTTGAGCAATAGATTTAGAAACTAAACCAGAAGAACAAACAATTAAAACTGTCAATTATTATGAGTAAATGTTTCAAAATAACCTCAGACTACTCGTGTCTGTACTTGCAATAACTACAGCAGAAGCCAGATTTTAAAAATAACATAGGCAAACAAGAAATTAAAACCAGAAATATTCTCCATTTTCATGTTCACTCAGTTCTCTCCTTCATTCTCTACAAATCTAGGCTGTTCAGGCTACAGAGAGCAACCTACCAGGAAGAGACAGAGAACAAAATTTTCATTATGATACAAACACATTACAGCATTTTACTATTTTATGCATTTTATTTTAATACATAGTGATTTGAAAACAGATCTACCATGAATGACTTGTGTTATCCTTTAGTTTAAATATAACAATCCCATGAATTGTCTAAAGTATTCCTCTTCTTTCTCCAAACCAAACTCTGTCTGCGTAAGACTCACAGACAAAAACATTCCAGTTACATAATGCTGGTGCTTTAGAAGATGGAAAAATACTCACATCAATTCAACCATTTTGCTTATAAAAACAGTAAAGTTTCAAACTCCAAAATCAAACTACTCATCTATCCTGTGTGTTATTCAGATTTTTTTTAATGATGTAGACTGCTCGCTGCTCTAATATTATTTCCTCTCTTTGCTTTCCAGCTGAACTTGAATTTACTTATCTTTACAAGCAACTCAAAACACAAGAAAATTCATTCTGAACATGTCTTACCTATTTCAATATGTGTTGAAATTCCACATGGGATGCATCTTTGACAGAAATGGTACAGTATAATCAGGAAAACAGACCAAATCTTCAGACCAGCCATGATGCTGGCTCAAACTGTGGTTTTCAGAAGCCTGGAGCAGTAGCGCTGTGACCTTTGCAATGTAGGTTACGGAGCATGTCTTTTCTTTCATACATACTGCTGACACAGCAAGTAAACAATTGCCATATTTGAAAGGCTATTTTATACCAATGCTTTTTTTTACCTCAAATAAAGTAATCTATAAAAAAAGAAATGATCTATGGGTGTTCTCCCCTCTTGAATTCTGTCATATCTCTGGGGTTTGAGCAGTGTACATGCCATCACTGCACAGCAGCAGTGAGATTTCTCTATACAATAGCAAAGCAAAGAGCATCCTACCACTGTTTGCCCAGCTCATGCTGCACTTGCCTTACAACAGCTACATCACATTTCACAAAAAAAAAAATCAAAGCCAATTGTCAAAGCAGTATTAATAAAAAGACAGTAGCTCCTGACACTGCTCAGCCTGCGGGCACAGCCACATTGGTTCCCAGTGAGATGGTGGCACCAGGCAGGGGCTTCACATGGACTGACCACAGCTGTCATGGGACCCGGTGGTCAGAAACTAGAGTCACTGGCCAGTGTGCCCACAGGCCCCCACGGGCTGGTGCTCCCACAGCCAAGCCATCAAGCTCAAGTCAGCCTGGAGGAGAGGAGACTGAGAGGAGACCTCATAGCAGCCTACAACCTCCTCACAAGGGGAAGCGTGGGGACAGGCACTGATCTCTCTAGTGACCTGAGGGAACGGCATGAAGCTGGCTCAGGGGAGGTTTAGGCTGGATATTAGAAAGAGGTTCTTCACCCAGAGGGTGGTCGGGCAGTGGAACAGGCTCCCCAGGGAAGTGGTCACAGCACTAAGCCTGACTGAGTTCAAGAAGGGTTTGGACAACACTCTCAGGCACATGCTGTGACTCGTGGGGTGTCCTCAAAGCCAAGAGTCGGACTTTGATGATCTCGTGGGTCCCCTCCAACTCAGGACATTCCATAATCTTATAATTATAACCCTCCCCTCTCCCTCTGGGAAGGGGCGTCTCGATGGTGCAGGAGTAACGGGACTTATGGAAGCAGAAGCCAATTCCCCCCCCCCAACCCCGTACGCTCCAATCCCTGCCAGGGACGACAAAGCTCCCCAGCCGGGACCGCCGCCGTTCCCTGCCGAGACGCTGCTTCGTGCCCGGGCCCTGCGCGGCTCCTCCTCCGGGGCGGCGCGGGCGGGCCGTGCCGGGGCCCCGCTGCCTGTCGCCGAGCGCGGCCATGGCGACCGTCCTTCCGCGGGGCGCCGCCGCCGCCCGCCGCCGCCTCCTCCTGCGGCTCCCGCCGCCGCTCTCCGCGGGGCCGGCGCGGGGCGCCAGCCGGGCGCTGCCCGCCGCCCTGGTGCGCCGGGGCGGCCTGGTGGGCGGCCGCTGGGTGGAGACGGCCGCCGCTTTCGCCGTGCAGGACCCGGCCAGCGGCGAGGAGCTGGGCCGGGTGTCGGACTGTGGCGCGGCCGAGGCGCGGGCGGCCGTGCGGGCCGCGCACGAAGCCGGCGCCGCCTGGGGCCGCCTGCCCGCCAAGGTGAGCGGCCGCGGGAGGGGGCGGCGAGGGGGCCCCGCGGGCGGGGAGCTGCGGGCGGCACCGACCGGGGCTCCCGGGGCTCCGCTGCCCCGTCCCTGCATGCGGCGGCCGCGGCAGCCTTGTCTCTCCCTGCCAGGAGAGGAGCTTGCGGCTCCGCAGATGGTACGAGCTGATGGTGGAGAACAAGGAGGAGCTGGCGCGGATCATCACGGCCGAAAACGTGAGTAGGGGGACGGGGCCGCCTCTGCCCCCGTGGGCACGGGCACTGCCCTGTGCCAGCACTCGGACTGGGAAACCCGACACAGAGATGCGAGCAGCGAAATAAAGTAAAACTGACCGCTAACAAAACACCCTGTGTGTATCTCACCAGTTAGCAACCCTAGCTTTTTTGAGAACTTAAAAAAGTTGAGGCGCATTGTGCGTTCCCATTGCTCTACTAGGGCATTGGTTTGATGGCAGTAGTAGGTAACCCGCAAAAGCCAGAACCCACGTTTGTGCTTCATGGTGAGCCATGTTGTCCACCTAAACTGCGGTCCTCATGGCAGGAATGTTTGTGTTTTATCAGTGTCATTGACTGGGAAAAAAACTGCAGTGCTATTAAAGCAAGTCGCCAGGTTGGATTCACATAGGCTGCTTTAGTTTGTACCACAGAGTAGTCTGGGAGCTCACAAACGGGTGTCCTTTCAGATGAAACCTTGTTGGAAGATGCTTCAAGCGGCTCCTCTGTAGTGTCATAGCTGCTAATGGTCATTTAGTCCACGGGGTCAGCCCTGGAGACAGTTCAGAGTAATACTCCCAAAACAAATGTCTCTGGCATGAACTTGTAACTGTTTTGCCATGTTTTGGTTCTTTCTTCAGAAAGGCAATAGCAGCTAACTGCAGAGTTTGTAAATAAATACATATATTTGCTATTGCTCGTTGTCTTGAGCCAATATGAATCCAGGCACAGCATACAAAATGTTGACTATACAGTCAATGATAGTATATTGAAGCTGCACAACTATTGCTGCTGCAATCATAGAATCGTTTTTGAAGATCTTAGAGTGTACCTGATAGGGAGGGGACCATAGAGTACTCTGAAAAAAACAGAAACCGCAAAATTACTTGAATTTGTTTTTAGTGCTTTAGTTTGCTGCTTACAATGTATCTTCAATTTGATTTAATCAAAGGGAAAGCCTCTGAAAGAAGCACAGGGTGAAATCGTGTATTCTGCCTCATTTCTGGAGTGGTTTGCGGAGGAGGCTCGCCGGATTTATGGTGATGTTATTCCAGCGTCTGCAAAAGACAGAAGAGTGCTGGTGCTGAAGCAGCCAGTAGGAGTGGCAGCCATTATAACCCCAGTAAGCATTGCTGAACTTTTTTGAATCACCTGGATGTTTTCAGCTCAGCCTACAGCATGGGGCCGTGGCCTTATGGCTCCTCCAGCTCTGGAAAACACCCCTGAAAATTTTAATTTCTACCTTCTTCCTTGATCGGCAGTGCTTCTTTTTAGTATTCACTTAGGACAAAGTACATCATGCACAACTAAACACAGAAAATGTCAGTTATTTCTGCAAAAACAGGTGGCAGAATTTTCCCAACTTGGATTGTACTTTTTTCTCTCACCCTAGTGGAATTTTCCCAGCGCTATGATTACCCGGAAGGTTGGTGCAGCTCTGGCAGCTGGCTGTACAGTGGTAGTGAAACCTGCAGAGGACACACCTTTATCAGCATTAGCTCTTGGGGAGGTGAGCGTTCATTTTAAGCTTTATCTTAGCAGTTGACTGAAGCTGTAAATGGGGAGTCAGATGTGCTTTGAAGGTAACTCTGGCCCCCTTCATACTTGAAGAAAGGGCAAACTGGCTGACTTGATCCAGGGGTTTTATTTTAGTGAGAATCTTTGGAAGTTGCCTCTAATATGGTCTAGATCCTCAAAGAGGATTGGGCTGTTTAGCCACACAAAACATTCTTATATCTTTCATTTGGTTACTTTGAACAGACAGCTTAAACCAGAGCAAGCTGCTCTCTTGATACTGTGGCATCTATTACTAGTTGTGCTGAGCCCTTTTGGCTTCTCTTGACTTACAGACTAGTTTCTTCAAAACAATTAACAAACATTGTGACTATTCCTAATGCAAAATGCACTGATAATGGAAATTCTGTTTTTCTTTTGTTGCAGCTTGCAAACCAGGCTGGAATTCCAGCAGGAGTGTATAACGTTGTTCCTTGTTCCAGACAACAGACAGCAGCTGTAGGGGAAGTGCTGTGCACTGATCCACTGGTATCCAAAATATCTTTTACTGGCTCTACAGCAACAGGAAAGGTACATAAGTGGACAGAATATCCATGAAGATTATTACTGTGGTTATACTGGAAAGGTAGGGGGAAAGTGTGTGCCTTTATACGGAGCCTTCTTTTTTGGCTGCTGTACACAGACTGCCCAAAGAATTGTGTACTTCTTGAGATACTGCCTGTTTGTTTAGTATAAGTACTTCACAGAAGGATGCTTGTCTGCAACTTCTTGATAACTGCCCTTTATTAAATTATAATGTGAACAGTTTTACATAAGATGTTTTGTTCTATATCGATAAGGTGACAACATACTAATAAGAACACTGAAACTGAGTTTCAAAGGTACTATTCAGGAATGGCTCCTGCAGTTGAGAGAAAGTGTTAGAGAAGCAAGGCTCAGGAATCTCTGCTGTCAGCTGTAGTCAATAAGCAATCTTGTTGCCATCTAATGAAATCACTAAAACTGCAGAGTGTGGCTAGAAAATGATAGAATTCTATGGGATGGCTGTATGCAAAATTAAAAAAAGATCTAGTATCAAGAGAAATCTTGATCCCAAATTCTGTCAGATCTTGGAAAACTTTTCTAAGAGTAGTCAAGATTTTATTATTGAGAAAGGATCAAACAAGCAAACAGAAGTAACAATATTACTGTGTAAAAGCTTGACCTGACCTTAAGTTGATCAAAATCCTTCTCTTCATTAGTTCTTGGCCAGAATTTAAAGATTTCAGTGAAGGAAATTTATTTTTGTTTTTGTTAGAGAAAATAATCTAACATTATAGAGAAATGCAGATTATTTCCTTGCCAGAGTTAATTTTTCACTGCCTCATGTCCATGATTCCACAGTTCACATCTGGCAGAGGTACAGATTTCTCTGTCTTTTTTGTTGCCTACAGATATTGCTGAAACATGCAGCTGGCACTGTGAAGCGAGTTTCCATGGAGCTTGGAGGACACGCTCCTTTTATAGTGTTTGACAGCGCCAATGTGGACCGTGCTGTTGCAGGAGCCCTTGCTTCTAAGTATAGAAACTCGGGGCAGGTGAGAATTAACTTTTTTGTCCTTGTTTCTAGAAAGTGAAGAGTTGTACATGTAGTTAAAGCTATAAATAAGATATTTTTTGTAAAAGGAAAGCACAGAGTACTTCATTGTGAAGATGCTGGATTCACACATGGCTGTGGGCACTCAAGCCAGTCATCAGCAAGTCTGAATAGCAACACTAAAATCCTATATATTTTCACAACATTTGTGGCAGTCACTGAGAAGAAAGATGTTCACTAGGACCCCTCACAAGAGCTTGAGAAGTGATAAGGCATTTTGTCATATTCTTTGTTAACATTACATTCCTTGGAGAACTAGAACTGTGAAAGACACCGTCCTGCTTCAGTCTATTAAAAGACACTGACAGATAGTTTTTTTCACAGTGAGTAGCTTAAAAAAAGTGGAAGACAGGATTTGAGTGTACGTTGCTTCAAATGTATTTTAATTAATAAAAATTAATAAAAAAAATTTCCAGAACAGTCAGCTGAGACGGGCTGTTCCAGCCTTTTGGGTATTACCCGTACATGGGAACATGAAGTTGATGAACTCCAGCTTTAGATAAGCAGCAAGTTTTCAGTGGGACTGGGAGGTTGTTTTGTGTGGAACATGTTGCTTGAATAACAGAAGAAGAAGACATAACACTAATCTTGGGAAGAAAGAAAGGAAACAAAAGTAGACAAGGACCACTGAGGGATCTGACCCACAGTGGACAAGATCTAACATAAAAGGCACCACTACACTGTTCTTGCTGTACAGAAGGATAAATTAGCTGTTCCTTCTGAGATACCATAGCCATCAGAGCAAAGGGGAAGCACAAATACATAGGCCATTGAAAGCACTTAGAAACAAATTCCAGGAAGAAAGCAAAAGAGACCCTACACCACCAAATGGGATTTGAGTTTCTGCTGCTCACTCCAGCATTCTGCAGTTTAATTAGAAGGTATTTTGTGTGGCTTCTGGACCTTGTTTGATCCATATATGTGAGCCTACAAAACTCAGAAAACCTTTACCCAGTGTAAGCAACTTCAGCAATGTGACGTATTTCACACACATACTGACAGCTTGTTGTATTTCTAGAGTGAAATGGGTGTCAAAAGAAATGGCATAGCAAGGTAACAGCTTAAGGTGAGGGACAAGAGGCAGAGGACATCAGTGTTGTAAACTGATTCTGTGGCATGAAGGCCAGAAAGAATTAATGGATAGATTAAATACAATATAAACTACTGTTAAGTTTTTTTCCTTTTCATGTTTGTTTTCAGACTTGTGTCTGCGCAAACCGTTTCCTGGTGCAAAAGGGAATTCATGACGAATTTGTGGAAAAGTTTGCTAAAGCTATAGAGAAAGAACTACATGTTGGAAATGGATTTGATGCAAAAACTACCCAAGGACCACTGATAAATGAAAAGGCAGTGGAGAAGGTATAAATAAAATACTTTATTTTTGAC